CTTTGACAAGGACAGAAGATTTTTATCTCTAACACATAACTGTGGGTGTGTCTGCATTTTAAATGCAGACATACACATATACACAAAAAAAGACATACATTTTCCACTTGTGTATTTACAGAAACAGATAATGCATCTCTGTGTGTGTACATGTACATATATTATCTTTGCAAAAAGAGGGTGTGCAATTTTTTACACGTGAAACACAATTACTTACCTAGAGACATGTCTTTCCTCATTCAAACTGTAAGTCAATTGAATACACTTCAGTGTATTTCTTGTATCTAGTTAAATGCTGCCTGGGGCGGCTTCCCAGTAGCCTACAGCCAGCAGTAACACCCCTTGGTTTCTGTGGCATTCCTGGGAGATACAAAAATATTGCCTTCTCCACGCACAAATGAAAAACACTGAAATGTGGAGAGCTCTCTAACTTACCACACAAAGGTGTAAGAAGCACAAGTGGTTAGAAGTTGAAATATGACATTGCTTATTGGCATGGATAATTTGACTTTGCAGCAGAGTCCCGAGGACCTATCCGAGTCTTTACATCAAGAATAAATGTTGATTTAAGAGGTTATATTCCAGCTATATCACAAGCTATAAAGCTAGATTAAAGGCTGTCCTAACACAGACAGACTAGACAAAACATGTAGCAATATGTTTTAAGGGAAAGAAAACCTGTAAGTAGGAGACACTGTATGATCCAATCTCAGAACTGTACTTTATCACAAGGAACATTCCTTACACAGGAGCCACATTTAACCAGTACAAGTTTTCTTGTTTTAATTACTTTAATTACTTCAATTATGAGGAATTTTTAAAAACACTTAAGGGATTTTCAAGCACAACTAATTAGTGATACTTTTTCCCAAAATTTCTGTAGGTGCCTTAGAAAATCTCGCCCGTTCCCTCTCCTATTTCTAAGATACTTGTTTCTATTTATATTAAGAATTAAATCCTTCCCCCATTGTTTTAAGCCTTTGCATCACTCACGGTGGCTAAATTTCCATCCTGCCCCAGGTACTTATTTTTGGGGAGCTGTAAGAAAATTTCATTTTCTTGGTGTTCCCAAAATCCAAAGGGCAACACTAAAAAATGCCCAAAAAATACCATAAAGAACAAAAAAACCTTGCAAGACAGCCCCCCAAAGCCCGCAAAATACAAGAGCTACAGAATTCTTCTCATCTTTTGTTCACCAACTGTTGCTTCCTTGTCCTAACTATTGTACCTCTGAAAGGGAACTACAAAGCCCCCAGCCAGTGGAGATGTACACTGGAGTGTCTCTTTATGCCCCACATCGAAGCCAAGAGGGACTCATTAGTCATCTGGAGACTTTGCCCCAATGCCCAAAGGCATGAAATACCTCCAACAGAGCACCAACTGAGATATGTCAGTGTGGCACTCACTTTGCATCTCTCTCTTGGTGCCTTTCAAGTTGTTTTCTAAACACTTCTTTTGTTGCTGTTGGCATGAGTGCACTTAAAAGCAGCATATCGTTAAGTACAGAGAATGCTCACTGTTTTCTGTCCTTTAAAATCTCTTCCAAGTACTTCCCTATGAGCAATTAAGCTAACTCTATGGGATACATTTGATAACAGATATTCTTTAGCTTGGGTGACAGTTAACAAGCAAGGCTGTAATGAATAATAAAGCACTTTTTAGTGACACACAGTCCCTATTCACGCGGAGTAGGGACTATTTTTGTGCAAGTTCAACAGAAGATTCTAACAATGCAACCCTCTTGTATAACTTGCACAAAATAGGCATTCATCAAGGAGGATTACTCTCCCCAAAATGGGGCTCTCAGCAGCTACGTGCTGTGGGTGGGGATGCACAATTCCAGACAGGGGTGGAGACCAAGGAAAAGGCATGGGTCTAGCATGAAAAATGCATGCTGTGTCAATTCATAAGCACAAAAGAGATGCATTTAAAAAAAAAAAAAGAAAAAAGAAAAAAAAAAAGGGAATAAAGAAAACTAGACGCAAAAGCTAAGGCTGCCCCAAGAACTTTTACAAAGAGTAACACATGCTGCAAGCGACCATGACAATATCTCAAGGTAACATTTTGCTAAGTATGAACTCTCCTTCCAAGGCCACCCCCTCTCTATAGAGACAAAGGCAGCTCCCAGCTTTCCAACACCAGCCCCCACTGGTATCTTCTACTTGTTCTCAAACACGCTCACCCAAACCACACGTAATCTGCCATTCTGTCACCACAGGGCTCTCAGTAACATGCGAGAATAATTTGTTCAATGATCTCCCTCTTTTTCTCCTTCTGCTTGGTAGAGGTGCCTCCCTCACGACAATACAGGAAAGCTATGCATGTATATATATATGTATTCATGCTACGTCCTCTACATCCTCCCAAAATATGTCTAGGTTCCCATTCCAAATACTGAACTTCTGAAACGTTACGACAGTAAATGCATAATTCTCCGATCATTTGAATGCTCTCCAAAAAAACTACTCTGGTACACCATGAAGGTTTGGTCTTCTTCCCTCATGACATTGTAACACTTTTCACCTCGATGTATTTAGAGAGAACTAAACCTCAGACTTTCAAATCATTTTAGTCTTTGCTTATGCCAGACAACCTTTTAGCTTAAATACAGTTCAAACACCGGAAAGCAAACCAAAACAAATAACTCATTACACCCAAGTTCAGGATACACCTAAAAACTAAGAAAGTAAAACCCAATCTCGGCTATCCAGAACTTTGAGTCACCAGATTTTTTCAAGGCAAGCACTGCCAGCTGACGGTGGGAGTAGCATCTACTTGCTCTGAGAGGATGAAGAATAAATGCCAGTGGAAATGTTTTCTCTCTTCTCTGAAAACTATCCGGAAGTTTTCCTCTACCTTGATACATGGACATTCCACAGACTAAGGAGTATCTGCTTTTACCTTTACTGACAGCTGTAGTCTAACTACACTTACATGTTTGCTCCCAGAAGAGGACTCTTCCTTCCAAGAACACTTTCTATTTTTAAAGGAGGAAACAGAATTTAAGGGGAGGAAAAAATGCTAAATTCTCCCAAAAGACTAGTGATTTCTATGCCCACTTGAAAGGCTATAAAGGTGTTTCAGAACACCTTCTGAAAATCAGGCCACTAACAAGCACCTCAAAACTTTCAAAGAAACCAAAAAATGACCCTTCTAAGAGTTTAGACCACGATGCACATTTTCCGACTGATGACCATGGAATAAAAACATATTTCTAAAACCAAAAAGAAAAGTAAGTTCTTTCATTATAGGGTGTACGTATTTTAGAGAGTGCAGCTAGGCATAAAACCACATACTTTCAAGGGTACTATCTATGAAAAATTCTTTTTCAGCCGTAAATAATGTAAATGATGATGATACACACTTAAAATGGAATGTGTTTTTAAAATATTAACTGTATTTGTGTGTCCAGTAAAGGGAAGAATTAGATATTATTGAAATAGCATTCTAGAACAAGTTATTCATTTTATAGCAATCCCTGCCGACTGGCCAGAAAAAGCCTTTGGACAAATTCTGTTTCTTCATCGTCTTTGTTTCTGGTGCAAGTACAGAAATATTTTAACAGAGCAACTTTTTAAAAGACCGCAGTCCAGTTTAAAAAGAAACCTTTCTGCCTAGAACTGAAGAAAGAATGGGGATGGAGAAAACCTCATGTCACAACCAAGCTTAACAGAAGTGTTTCTTCTGTGCCTTACCTACTCAAAAGTGCAACAAAACTCACAGCACTTAGCACAGCAGATGTTTATGTGCTAAATTAGTGTTTCAGGAAAAACATCAGGTATTCTGTAACAGGACTTCTCTCTTCTGTCTCAGTTGTATTTGTCATGGGATGCCAGTGAATAAAATCTTCAGAAGAAGAATGGAATTTGTATGGGCCATTTTAAAACTATGCTGAAAACCAGCGACGGGTGCTGAAAAGAGCCAGAAAAGTGCTTTGAGTGTTGGGGGGAAATGTTCTGCAGTGGGATGCTTAAAAAGCTCAATCTATTTATTTTATGCAAAAGAAAATTGAGGAGTGACTTGATTACAGCACATAAATAACTTTATGGAGGCGGGATGCGGGGGAAGTAGAGTTTTTAATATAGTAGAGAAAATACATAACTGGAACCTGAACCCAGACAAACTAATACTGAAATCGGGAATAACACAGACTCGCCATTGCCACAAACTATCAAGGGAAGCGATGGATTCTCCATCACTGGATGTCTTCACACTAGCTTTGGATGCCTTTCTAAAAGGCTTGCTTTACCCTAACAGGATCTATGAACTAACCAAGCACAAGGTTTGGGTTTCTTTTAATGGTTAATACATGTATCTTCTGAAGTGTAAGGCTCCAGAAAGCCTTACATTCTGTGAGCTAAGAGCTCATTGCTTGATGACCAGAATAGGGTTATTTTATCATTAGTGTTTCATTTAGCCTGAGGCTTTTGGGAAAATGGTCTTCATTTTGAAATATGGAGAAAAAAATATTCTGAAAATCATTAGTCTGAACTTAGATAAGACAAATATTTGCCTAAAGTTCATACAGCAAACTAATTGGGGGAAAAAAAGGCAATATTTATGATAAAAGATCCCTTTTTCTGGAAAAGTTTTGATTTTATAAAATCTTGACAAAGAGTAGGGAGACCATATTAAGCATTTAGTTTTCTTACGGTGAAATGTTAACAAAAATCCATATCCTTAAAGTAAAAGCTATCAAAATTTAAGCAGCAGCTTCAAAGATCAACTAGCTCTAACACAACGAAGAAAACACAGACAGCTTTTCCTAGACCGTACTCTAACAACTGGGTGTTACTGTGCTCTTAAATCGCCTCTCTAAAAGTTCTCATTCAGGCAACCAGGGGCAACCAGATGTCCTGGCGAGCCCGATTCCCCTTCCCCTCACCCGTGGGACAAGCTGTCCCTGCTCCCCCAGCCCCAGAGCAACTCCTCCAGACTGGATCTCAGGTCGCTGAGAGGGGACCGAAGGTGTGGGACCCTTCCCCTCTCACGGCTCCTACCCCACCGGCCACCGGTGCCTCTTGGAGGGGATGCTTCACTGGAAGCACCAGCGGAGCCTCTGCCCCGCACTCCTGTTCCCAGCCGTAGCCCTGGCAGTATCTAGACAATGACAGAAACACACCTAGAGAATTACACCGATACAGCTGGGCTCCTCTGCGGTTGCTTTACGAGGCGAAGCACCAGGAGCCCCAGTAGTTAACCCTGTAAGTCCTTCTCAACATCTGGGTCAAAACACCTCCCGGTGAGGAGAGGAGGAACACCAAGGCCGGGAGCAGCACCGGCTGTGCCCCGCCGCAGCAGGCGAGGAGGTCAGCAGGCTGGGAAGCTGGTGGGATCGTGCGCTCCCACCACTGGGATTACAAAGAGGAAGCTCAGGCGGCCCCAGGACTTCATCCAAGCTCCGCCACTTGTTGGCAGGGTGAGGGGAAAGGTGCCGCACCTCGCCGGGAGAGACTCTGCCATCCCTCCCCTCTCCTCCTCGGGTCCGGGCTCGGAGGGCCGGCAGGAGAGAGTGCCCAAGGAGAGAGAAAAGGGCTGTTGCGTTTTCTGCTTAAAAAGGAAGGAAACCCGACACCTTTGACGAAACCCACGTACGAGTTTAGCGGGAAGGCTGGCACGGAGCGGACCGAAAAGGAAGAGCTCCTCCGGGGTCGGGGTCGGGGTCGGGGGAGAGGAACGCCGGACGATGGGAATAACCCGAAAGCTGCAAGGAAGAGGCCAAGAGGTGCGCAGATGGGGGGCGAGGAGGCCGCCAAAGAAAGAGGGGCAGGGCAAGAGGGGCGTCCCGGGAAAGACCCGGCAGGGGGAAGGACAAAGAGGTCCCGGGCGCGGGGAGGGAGCGGGCTGCCGGAGCGCTCTCCCCCGGCGGGCGCCGGCGGCCTGCCAGGGCGGGGGAGG